GTAAGTAGTCTCTAACACTTAAGTATATATGTATATATATATATATATATATATATATATATATATATAATATATATATAATATATATATATTTTATATATATATATATATATATAATATATAAATATATATATATAATATATAATATATATAGATGTATTGTATATATATATGTACTATAATATATATATATATATATTATATATATATATATAATATATATATATATATATATAGATGTATATGTATATATATATGTACATATATATATATATATATATATATATATATATATATATATATATATATATATATATATATATATATATATATATATTATATATTTAATATATATTATATATATATATATATATATATTATATATATATATATATATATATATATATATATTATATATAATAATATATATACATACATATATATATATATAATATATATATATATATATATATATTATATATATATATATATATATATATATATATATATATATATATATATATAATATATATATAATTTAACAATTGAATTATAATATATTTACATACATATATACATTCAGTACATGCCTGCATGCATACCTACATGCAGTACATACTTACATACAAGTTATGTATTGAGGGGGAATGCGGAGATACAAAGCTGATTAAATATCCATTTGTGTCAGAGCTTCAGGTTTTTTGAGCTTGTCCCTATTCATACACTCACATTAATTACGTTTATTTCATTTTCCCCACTAAATTACTTTATCCCTCTGGCAACTTAATTACGTATTATATTTATATGTACAGGTTTTTTTTAAATCAAATTGTAAAGCATAGTAAAGTTTAAAGAGAACATGATAGATAATATATTAGAAGAGAGGGACGGGAGGAAGAGAGAGAGAGAGAGAGAGAGAGAGAGGAGAGAGAGAGAGAGAGAGAGAGAGAAGAGAGAGAGAGAGAGAGAGAGAGAGAGAGAGAGAGAGAGAGAGAGAGAGAGAGAGAGAGAGAGAGAGAGAGAGAGGGAGAAACAAAGAGAGAGGGAATTATATTATCTTCATCTACGCACACACACAGAAAATAAAATAGCGCAATGATCATGCTGATTACTTTAGTCTTTAGTCTCTCATGCTTATGATATTTCCACCCTATGGTTCTTAACATTTTAAATCTCTTTCTCATTCTATTACATAATATAACCATTCTGTGCACTCACTCAGTGGCCATTGTATCAGGTACTCTCTTCAATTACTGTGCAGGGCCCCCAATTGCCCTCCAGAAAGGTCTGAATTCTTCGTAGCATGGATTCAACAAGGTGCTGGAAACATTCCTTAGAGATCCTGGTCCATGTTGACATTGTAGCATCATGCAAATGCTGCAGATTTGTCGGGTGAGCATTCATGGTGCTAATCTCCCGTTCCATCACATTCCAAAGGCGTGCTCCAAATTCTGATTCTACCATCTGCATATCAGCATAAATCGAGATTCGTCAAATCAGGCGACATTTTTCCAATCTTCAACTGTCCGGTTTTGGTGAGACTGTGCCCACTGTAGCCTCAGTTTCCTGTTCTTAGCTGACACAAGCGGAACCCGATGTGTTCTTCTACTGCTGGGACCCATCCACTTCAAGGTTCGAAGTTTTGTGCATTCAGAGCTGTTCTTCGGCATAATACTGTTGTAATGCGTGGTTGTTTTGGGGTTTGTGGTTGTTTTCCTTTTTTTCTTTGTAAACTCTAGAAACTGTTATCCGTGAAAATCCCAGGAGATCAGTAGTGTTTGAGATACTGTGACCACCACCCCGTCTCTGTACCAAGAATCATCACACGGTCAGTCACTTAGATCACATTTCTTTCCCCCATTCTGATGTTTGGTCCGAGCAACACCTGAAACTCCTGACCAAGTCTGCATGCTTTTAGGCACTGAGGTGCTGCCACGTGATTGGCTGTTTAGATATTTACATTAACGAGCATTGTGTTCAATTAAGTTAATCTGCTTATTCCATGTATATATTGTGCTCGTTCGACTGATTACTAACGTCGGTTTTTACACTGTCACATTTACAGTGTAATATACTGTCACATTTACAGTTTCAAACACTGTCGTTTACACTACGTCTTCACAGCATGTTGACAGTATACTTAACACGGTATACACATAATATTCTAAACACAGTGTACAAACACAGTATACTGAACACAGTATACACACACATTATACTGAACACAGTATACACACACAGTATAACATTCTATATCGAGGAGAAAAGGACAAATTCCGTTGTTTTCCGTTTAAGAATTCAATAGGAAAGTATATATTTGGATGGTAATGAAGGACGTGGGTGGTAGTGAAGGACGTGGGTGGTAGTGAAGGACGTGGGTGGTAGTGAAGGACGTGGGTGGTAGTGAAGGACGTGGGTGGTAGTGAAGACGTGGGTGGTAGTGAAGGACGGGGTGGTAGTGAAGGACTGGGGTGGTAGTAAGAGGACAAAGGGTGGTAGTGAAGGAACGTGGGTGGTATGAAGGACGTGGGTGGTAGTGAAGGAGGGGGTGGGGTGGGGTAGTGAAGGGACGTGGGTGGTAGGGAAGGACGGGGGGGTGGTAGTGAAGGACGAGGGGGGGGATAGTGAAGGACGAGTGGTGTAGTGGAAGGATAGGTGGTAGTATGTAGCCGAGGGTGTAGTGAAGGACGTGGGTGGTAAGTGAAGGCCGAGGGTTTTTATGTGCAGCATCAGGTGTTGAGATAGGCCGAGTGTGGAAGCGAGGTGGTTAGTAAGACGAGGTGTAGTGAAACGAGGGTGGTAGTGAAGCACGAGGGTAGTGAGCCGGTGAGAAGGCCAGGGTGTAGTGAAGGACGAGGTATAGTGAAGGACGAGGGTGGTAGAGGCAGGGTTAATGATATGAAGGACAGGTGGTAGTGAAGGACGAGGGTGGTAGTGAGGACGAGGGTGGTAGTGAAGGACGAGGGTGGTAGTGAAGGACAGGTATTAGTGAAGGACGAGGGTGGTAGTGAAGGACGAGGTTTTAGTGAAGGACGAGGGTGTTAGTGAAGGACGAGGGTGGTAGTGAGGACGAGGTGTAGTAAGGACGTGTGTGTAGTGAAGGAACGAGGGTGGTTTAGTGAAGGACTGGTGGTAGTGAAGACGAGGGTGGTAGTGAAGGACGTGGGTGGTAGTGAAGGACGTGGGTGTAGTGAAGGACGTGGGTGATAGTGAAGGACGAGGGTGGTAGTGAAGGACGGGGTGGTAGTAGAAGGACAGGTGGTAGTGAACGAGGTATAAGGCTCGAGGGTGGTAGTGAAGGACGAGGTGGTAGTGAAGGAGACGGGTGAAGTGAAGACGAGTGGTGTAGTGAAGGACGTGGGGGTAGTGAAGGACGAGGTGGTAGTGAAGGACGAGGGTTGGTAGGAAGGACGAGGGTGGTAGTGAAGGACGTGGGTGATAGTGAAGGACGAGGGTGGTTAGTGAAGGACGAGGGTGGTAGTGAAGGACGAGGGTGGTAGTGAAGGACGGGGTGGTAGTGAAGGACGAGGGTGGTAGTGAAGGACGAGGGTGGTAGTGAAGGGACGTGGGTGAGTGAAGGACGGGGTGGTAGTGAAGGACGAGTGTGGTGGTAGTGAAGGACGAGGGTGGTAGTGAAGGACGAGGTGTAGCGAGTTAGTGAAGGACGAGGGTGGTAGTGAAGGACGAGGGTGGTAGTGAAGGACGAGGGTGTAGTGAAGGACGAGGGTGGTAGTGAAGGACGAGGGTGTAGTGAAGGACGAGGGTGATAGTGAAGGACGAGGGTGGTAGTGAAGGACGAGGGTGATAGTGAAGGACGAGGTGGTAGGAAGGACGAGGGTGTAGTGAAGGACGAGGGGTGTAGTGAAGGACGAGGGTGGATAGTGAAGGACGAGGGTGATAGTGAAGGACGAGGGTGGTAGTGAAGGACGAGGGTGTAGTGAAGGACGAGGGTGGTAGTGAAGGACGTGGGTGTAGTGAAGGACGAGGGTGGTAGTGAAGGACGGGGTGGTAGTGAAGGACGAGGGTGGTAGTGAAGGACGAGGGTGGGAGTGAAGGACGAGGGTGGTAGTGAAGGACGTGGGTGATAGTGAAGGGGGTGAGGGGGTGTAGTGAAGGACGAGGGTGGTAGTGAAGGACGAGGGTGGATAGTGAAGGCGAGGGTGTAGTGAAGGACGGGGTGGTAGTGAAGGACGTAGGGTGGTAGTGAAGGACGAGGGTGGTAGTGAAGGACGAGGGTGTAGTGAAGGACGAGGGTGGTAGTGAAGGACGTGGGTGGTAGTGAAGGACGAGGGTGTAGTGAAGGACGAGGGTGGTATAGTGAAGGACGGGGTGGTAGTGAAGGACGAGGGTGGTAGTGAAGGACGAGGGTGGTAGTGAAGGACGAGGGTGGTAGTGAAGGACAGTGGGTGATAGTGAAGGACGAGGGTGGTAGTGAAGGACGAGGGTGTAGTGAAGGCGAGGGTGATAGGTAAGTGAAGGACGAGGGTGGTAGTGAAGGACGAGGGTGGTAGTGAAGGACGAGGGTGGTAGTGAAGGACGAGGGGTGTAGTGAAGGACGAGGGTGGTAGTGAAGGACGGGGTGTAGTGAAGGACGATGGGTGCGTAGTGAAGGACGAGGGTGGTGTAGTGAAGGACGAGGGTGGTAGTGAAGGACGAGGGTGGTAGTGAAGGACGAGGGTGGTAGTGAAGGACGAGGGTGGTAGTGAAGGACGAGGGTGATGGTAGTGAAGGACGGAGGGTGGTAGTGAAGGACGGGGTGTGTAGTGAAGAGACGGGGTGGTAGTGAAGGACGAGGGTGGTAGTGAAGGACGAGGGTGGTAGTGAAGGACGAGGGTGGTAGTGAAGGACGAGGGTGGTAGTGAAGGACGAGGGTGGTAGTGAAGGACGAGGGTGTAGTGAAGGACGAGGGTGGTAGTGAAGGACGAGGGTGATAGTGAAGGACGAGGGTGGTAGTGAAGGACGAGGGTGGTAGTGAAGGACGAGGGGTAGTGAAGGACGAG